GGCACAGAAGAATATTCCAAATTTTGTGTGTATAAAGAATGGGACAAGAAATAAGAATGTTCATCTAGTAGATTGCCCTGCACAACTTTCAACCAATCCACTGAAATAATTATTTAGATTAGGGATATAAAATCCTGTTTAAATATTGAGTTTAAACGGTTAACCGCTCCAGCTCAACCTCTGCCGGTGATGCACCAGAGCATTAACATTAACATCCCTAATTTAGATGTAGATGGAGAATTGGGATGAAGTCATGGCCAAGGCAAAAGATCTTTTTTTGAAAATGCCTCTCCTCTTTTGAAAGCTTTGAGACTCCCTAGTGAAAAAAAGTACCAGATTATGATCTGTGTTTGGCATAAGTGTGAAGTCTTTCTTATTTTGTGTGTGTGTGTGTGTGGGGGGGGGGGGGGATTGTCTGTCCCATCTGATCAGAGGCTGGGTACAATGCGCAGTCTAACAAACAAAAAGTAGAATGTACCTATGTACATCTATGTGCCATAATTATCTTAACCTGAGGGGACTGGAATAACATGATCAGGTGACAGTTAAGTTGAACAACTGGGCCTCATAAAAAAGGCTTGAGAAAGAACAACTGGAGAGGAGGCTATGCCAGAGGTCACAGACAGCAAGAAAATCCTGCAGGGATAAGGAACCACAGGGAGCAAGTTAAGATCCTGTGGGAGGCCCTACGTTATAAGTCTGCAAGAAGCAGGGAGATCCTTGGATGAGAGAGAGTGAGGTATGGGTAGAGGGAAATCTGCTATGAAAATGACTCCAGGAAAAGCAGTCTAAGAATCAGTGCTGTATTACAGCCACAGAAAAGATTTAAAGGAGGGGTCAATCACACTTAATGCCTGTGACTAATTAATGGTTAATTTTTTTAACTGCATTAATTGCATACATCTGGGTAGGGAAGGAGACATTAGTTGTGGAGGGACCTACTATGTCCAGTCAGGCACAGTAACCAAATTTGCTTCTGGATGGCAGGAAGAGGCAAAGAAAAGAAGTGTCTTCCATCCCAGCTTTGACAGAGTGATAGGGATCCTGATCCTACCATGCTCCACTGCTCCCAGATAGCTCCTCACTCTGGGGACCAGACTCCCCCAACACCTGACCAGTCCCTTGTTCTAGGGACCAACCCTCTCCAGGCCCCATTATCTCCAATCAGACCTTCACTTCAGGAGGTATTCCATTGAGAACAGGGGACCTGTAAACTCAGCCTCCCTGCACCATCCTCTATAGGAGCAGTTCCCAACCACCGGTCCGTGGACCAGTGGTGGGCCACAAACCCCTGCCTGCTGGGTCGTGGTACATTGCCCAGCCACATCCGCCATGGTTAGGGGCTGCTCCTATCAGGCTCGACCATTCCTGCCCATAGTGCACCAGAGTCAGGCCAGCCTCAGCTGGTATAGAAACACTATAAGCACTCTTGAGCTACAGCTAAAGAGCTGTTCATAAGGCACAAGAAGCATTATTATTAGAAAGGAGGAAATGACTGAAGATTCTTTTTGAAGACCTTCTCTCTCTCCCCTCCCACTTTACCTGTTCTTTTCCTCAAGTTCTTTATTTGCTTTCCTCTTGAATTTGGGTAACAGCTGCTGAAGAAGGTCCTTCACTGCATCTCGCTCTTTCACTGCAGTGCTTTCATTGGAGAAGTGGAAGTTGGTTGTGTCCCCTGCATGCAGTACCAGCTGTAACTGAATTTTAGCCTTTCCTTCAGGACTGATTTTCTGGCCTAGAATATATAAAGAACAGAAATTAGTGCTATAAAGTACCTTTATGTAATAAACTTTCTTCCCTGAGCAATAATTTATAGGCTGTTGTATGCATCACTCCATTAAATCTAAATATCGCACATTGATAGCATTTCTTCCAGGGCTGGAAGAAAAGCATTCACCCATGTCAGTGCTCATCGATGTAAATGTTGCTGAGAAAGAAAGGGGAGAGAAAATTACTTCATTTACTCAGTGTCTGCAAGAACACCTATCTGTTCCTCCAATCTTCTAAAATACAGTATGTAAATGCTATGATAGGCTCAATAGCTGGGGAAGATAAGACCATCACAAAAACTATGTATAAAATAGATGAACAGACTTTCTAAATTGTTATTAAACATATCTGTTAGAGCAGTGCATTTTAAAGTTTTGACTACAATACATCACACACACACACACACACACACACACACCCACCCCTTTTAAAAAAATGTTGTAATTATCCTATATACATTTAGATAGCATATGCTGTAGACAGAAAAAGATGTATGCAATTTGCAAGGATGTGTGATTTTTGGTATTAAGTATTGACAGATAGCACTAACCTGAAACAGCCAGCACTATGGAAACTCAGTTTTGACTTATAGCACACTACTATTTCAGTTGTGGGCGTTTACTGAACAAGAGTCAAGCCAAACTGTGAAGTAATTTTGGAGGACACAGATGATATGAGTGAATTTATTTTCAATTATGACCCCAATGTACATCAGATTTTTAAATCTAGATTTCCAAAAATGAGAGACTAGTATAATAAGCTCTCACACCACATAAGCTTATTAAACTTTAATCAATTTATATCTAATTGTGAGCTGGGTTCTATAGAATACACTGTGCCAGAATTAGATGTATAGGCAGTCCCCGGGTTACGTACAAGATAGGGACTGTAGGTTTGTTCTTAAGTTGAATCTGTATGTAAGTCGGAACTGGCATCCAGATTCAGCCGCTGCTGAAATTGACCAGTGGCTGACTACAGGAAGCCTGAGGCAGAATTGCTCTGCCCCGGGCTTCCTGGAATCAGCTGCTGATCGGTTTCAACAGGCTGAATCTGGACGCCAGTTCTTACATACAGAATCAACTTAAGAACCCCAGGCGTCCCCAAGTCAGCTGCTGCTGAAACTGATCAGCGGCTGATTC